TTTTGGGGTTGCAACGCACTTCCTTCCAGCTTGGTTGGGGCTGATAGTCGAGCCCCCCCAAAAAACACTGGCTAGTTTTATCTTTTAACGTATTATAACATTTCCCAGGTATTGTTTAGCATTCCATAAATCCTTCATTGTAAAATCTAGCACAGACGATCTACCAGTTTGGCAAGGAATCTGGTTTTAACTAAAATGAACCTTGAAGCATACTAGGGATCAAAAAAGTCTCATACTTAGGGGAGTGCTGCTTAGTTTGGGGCCTACATTAAATTCCATCAGCTCTTCTGAATATAGCAGAAAAGATTTTAGCTACACAGTCGCAGTCCAGAGTCGGGTATGATCTTCTATTATTATTTTTCATGGTGATTTTAAGATCTCCTCCCTACTCATACAGCTGAAAGGGATTTTCAGTGGCCCAAAGATTCACCTGGAATCACAGAAACCCAAAGGTAATAAATACTATATAAAATGTTATTTAAGAATACAACTTGGAGAACATACTCTGTATCTAAGATCAAATTTTCTGTCCTTTAATAAATGCCCAAAGAAAAATGACTTTGAAAAAATATCAGGTTAAGTTGTCACCATGCTGAACAAAAGTAGTTTCTTTTTTTTTTAAAAAAACATACACACATTCTAGTAGTGGAGAAGTGCATACAGTACCTGTTGTTATTCTTATGTTGTTCTTGGAATGTTTTTCTAAAGACAACAGGTATATAGTGAAATACAATATCAGCTCAGGTTCCTCAGGTGCTCTTCTGCAAAGCTATGAAATAACAGTTTGTCTCCTCCTTAGAGAAACATCACACATTTTAACATACAATCACTGTAAGATCTTTCCCCCACCTCGCTCCTACCCTCCCCAGTGCAGGATAGGAATCCCACCCAAACCATTCAATTTCCAAAGCTTAAAAAAAAAAGAAAGAAAATAAATAAAAGAAAAAGAAAAACAGTTTATAAAACAGCAAAGAAAAAGTTATTTTAATATATATAGAGAGAGAACAAAATGAAACTTGAGGGAAAACTTACTGGCGTTACAGTTTATCCTGATACAGTCTAGATGGGGAAAAATAAATGAAAGATGAAATTGCATCCTTCAAGGTAACAGCTGCAGACATCCAAAAACAATCAGTCCACCCTTCCGGGGACAGACACACGCAAAGAGATGTGGCCATTTTATACTCATATACCGTCTCTACAAATTCAGGAGTGGGTGTATATGTACAGTATATTCTACATTAAAATCTGTTACATAAATATATATATATAAACACATATATATATACACGTATGTATAGAGAGATATACCAATATACATATATATCCACATATTGACACAGAAAGCTATTTCTTTTTGCAGATACCTTTGCATAGGTATAGATACCTCTTCTGCTCCACGAACTAATGTGAATTACAAAAAAAAACCTGACAATTAAGACAAAAAAATCTCCCTCAAAATGCAAGTCAGACTCCAGTGTCAATTCTCTTTTTAAAATCCTTTTATAATTTCTTCAAGAAGCTTGAAGATTAAAAACAACCTTTACACTTGGTTTCTTTTGAATTAATGCATATTGTTATTGCATAAATATACCATCTGTCCCACACAGAATACCTGTAATATCAGCTTGAAATTTGTTGGTGCAATATTTAACCCTTTCCAACTCTCCCAAAGACCCTCTTTTCATTCCCCCTTGTGCCAGCCCAAAACACTAAAAGTATGTGCACAGGTGCATTTGCCACTGTTCGTTCAGGCGAGGAAAGGGTTAAAATAGTGCCCAGTTGTGTCTTATCATAAAATGGCCACTTGCAAACAGCTAACCGCACGAACGCCCAGCCCAGATTTCAGCTAGCTCTGGAGGTTGGGAATACTTTTTGTTGCTTGTTGGGGGTGTAGGGATTCCCTTCAAAGGTCCCCAGCCCTGCCAGGTCCTCAGAGCCCCATCCTGTCTTGCTGTCTGAACGTTGGGACTGAATCGGCTGCTCGTAACGTTCAGGGAGAAGACAAAATGGGCAGTGAAGTGGCAGGACTGGGGACCTTTGCTGCCCTGCTTCATTCAGAGGTTACAGGGAAGGGAGGGTGGAAGAAAAAGGGTATGTGGAAAGAAAAAGAAACAAAACCATACTCATGAAATCTAATAAGCAGTAACTGAGGCGTCCACAAAAACAAAATGAGTGGAGGTAGAGGAACTAGAGTGCTTCTGAGCATTTCCTTTTCTTGTTTAGCACCCTAATGCTCAGGATATTGCACATAAAAGGAGCCATTAAATTTATACCTAGTGAACATCCTTTACTGGGATATCCAAAATGATTGAGAGCTCTAGTATCAGTGCTATTAGGTACTTTGGGCAGTGCTGGCAGTCTTGCAGGAAATCAAGACCATGGATAACAGTCCATGGTTACAGATACCTTACCTGGACAGTCTGCCAGGTATTAAGTCTTCGAACAGCAGAGATGGTCATATTTATTACAGAGATATTGGCTCAGCAAGCGAGATTATACAGAATGGGAGAGAAGACAAATAGCGTGCAATTTGCTGCTTTACTGGACCAATTCTGTGTTTACTCTGACAGATGTAGGAATAATAATTTCAGTAGCTGAAACTAAATGCAGTTTTTAAAAAATAAAAGAGGGAAAAGAAAAGGAATCTGTAAATAAAGAGTCATAACGGTTAGGGATATACCAATCAGGAGCAGTATAGCTACAGAGAGTCTGTTTTCAAGCAGAACTTCTCTTGAGAAAATCTGGGTTTGGTTTTGTGCGATTAGGTTTGTCATGTGTCGTCAACCGCAACAGAAAAGTGGGAGCAAACAGCCCTGGAGCAATTGGTACGATCACCGTACAGCGGTGGCTATATCCCTTCTAGGAGCTGGGTGAGGTAAGGGAGCTCTGAAATACATGCCATGGAACCAGTTACCCTTTCCCCTGTGACCTGAAAGACAGTGAGAAGGAGAGAGAGAGAGACACTCTGCAAACAACAGACATCACGGTCGCTTATACCATCAGCACAGCAGGGCAATTTGCTTTGGGCCAAACTGTCAAGTGTGCCATAAAGAGAAACCTGACTGGTTCCAAGCAAAATTCACCTAAGAGACTATGCCTCCTTTTTGCTTTTACAAGGGTAACATGGTCAGAGTGTTGCTTTCCAACACAATGGCAGTCATGAACAGTAGTGTACGGTGAGCCCTCTGCTTAACAAGTCTCCAAGACTTTAAAGTGTGTTGTACAGCCCAACGTCAAAATCTCATGGCACCCATGTAAGGTGAGCTATACAAGCTACAGTTGCTGCAGTTGCAGGAGCAGAGCAGGAGTTGCTGCAGTTGCAGTTTTCAATCAGTTGTTGAAAAGAGAGGTATCATCAGTTGTTGAAAAGAGATGCTACATTCAAAGAATAGGCATGGGATGAGGGGGGGTTATTTCCTTAATTCTTTCCCAAAACCCTGAAATAAAGGCTCCAATCATTAATGCATGAAGTTGTTTTCTCCTTCATTCATCAGAGCAGCACCCACGGAACTCAATAACAATTAAAAAAACTGCTTGGGAATCCCTGGGTGCTTGTTGCAGTGCAGTAAGACTTGAGTAACCCTTGTTTCAGCCTCTCAGCACTGTCATTGTGTTCTACTGATGCGATTTGCTTTATTTAGCTGCGCATGCATTCCTGACTTTTCCTTCACTATGGATTTTAAAGATGAATATGCCTAAACAGCTGTAAATTTGTTCACTTGTCAGTACAGCCACTGATGGAGATAGCTGGAGGCCACCAATAAAGTAATAACATAGAGTATAAGTACAAGGGGAGCAGAATGAGTTGTGAAGACCTAGTAGTTACTTTCATGCATTATTTTTCCCAATGTAAATCAGAAGCTTCCTCAGTGTTCAGCCAAAAGATTTTTCTTAAATACATCACTTGCAATATGGGCCAAAGATCCTCTCCTTGGAAAAAATAGTATCTATACTGCAACCAGCTAACATTAGGGATTCATCCTTTACTAACAAAATCTCTGAGAATTAGGCATTTGTTTCTTACTATTTGTGTCTTTGTGCCTCAAAATAGTAATATTTAAGTTATTTAACATTACTAAAGTCTTAGGCTGTTTCTCTGAATCAGGAAAGAAAGACACTTTTACTGTGTGAGGACAAAATCTTTCTTTTAATGAGCATCCACAGGTGGTTATGGAAGAGCATTTAACAGGAAGCTGGCACGAGAGAGCTAACTGGGGCCTGACTGCTGCTCCTAAATCTCAGTTATTTCTCATGGGGAATCTGGATGAGATCTCTTACCCCATGCCATCGTGTGGCTCCTTGTCTGTCTCCTGTCTGCAAGCAGTTAGACTGTGCACCTAGCCATAAATATTATAGGGCAGCTAAATATTTTTCTATTTCTATGCCAAAACTTAAAATGGGGTATTACATGTACTGATTACAAATACAAAAATTATTAATAAGAAATAGACTTAGTGTGAGAAATAATAGTGTAAATGAGTTGCATCATCCACACAAATAGAAATTAGTTGTGGAAATGTGAATATATGTGACAATGAAAACAGAAAATCTGCCTGTTCAGTTTGGGCATAGGATGAATAAAAGAAACCATGTACTTTGGAAAGGCAAAGATGTCTTTGTGACACTTTGCCCTTTTTTTTAGCCACCATTTCCCTGAATATTAGCCAGGCCAAGCAGAAAAACTGAAATGTTCTTGAACAGTAATCAGAGGAATGGTAACCCTTCCCACTAAGCCACTGGAGGAAAAATATTCAGGTGACTCTCTCTCTCCTGCCCAGCCAGTTATTTCCCTTTATGCACATTTTTAAGCAGCAGAAATTATTCTTGAGCAAGTTCCAAGCCAGAATTTGTTTTCTCTCTCTCACTCTTTCTCGCTCTCTACTCCAGACCCATTTCCTCAAAGTCCTTCTCAGTTGATGTGAGATCCATGTCACATTTGGATTGCTGATCTTCACACAACAAACACTCAACCTACACCGAGAGGTGCTGCCAACATGCAGAATGCAGTGCCTCGGGCACCCACAGGCCCCAAGAACCTTCCTCGTCCCTCTAAATAGTCGTCACTGCTACTCCTTCCCCTCCCATGTTCTACAGCAAGCACCCGCGGCCACCCGTGCCCACCCCGGTGTGTGCCCACGGGCCCTGGCGCGCGGCGGGGGCGAGGGGGATATGCCAGCCGCTGCAGGCTGCTCGGTACGCTCTGTTCGCAGGGCTGTTTGCTGTGCGGGCCGCAGGCTTCAGGCCTTTGAAGGGTTGAATACCATCTTTTGATTTACTATGGCTGATGGGCTATGGGAAAGCTTTACAAATCAAATACACGGAAGAAGAAAAAAAGAAAAGAGAAAAGAAAAAAATAACACTGGAAAGAGCTTAATAACCACACAAATGATAACAAGTAATCAAATGGCATAGATCAAAGAAGAAAAACACAGCTTTTAATACCAATATTAAACAACTTGTAAGAAAAGTACAACTAAGTAACTCAACACTCAAAACAGTCTTTGTCATTTGGTTTTTGGTTAGACACTCAGTGGGCTGCTGCCATGTAACTAGTCAGACCTGAGCTCTTCAGGTTTTCAGTTAGCACTTATGTCTCTCTCTGGCATAGGGATTTTGGCAGGGTCAGGGTACTTTAGACTTGGTCTTCATGTGAGACATCTGGGCTATGATCAGTCTCCTTAAAGAGTTAGAATTGACTTCTAGTAAACAACAGAAAATGAATGGCTTGAGTCATTTCTCCAGAATTTTATTTCAACAGCAAGGTATTATGGCTGTTTTTAAAGTAGGAAAGTGATGATATAAGAATGTATCTGACAGTTTTATAAATCCGAAGAAAGGAGAGGTGAAGCTTGATCCAGCTTCAAACAAATTAAACTACAGTCTTGTGGAGCTAGACATAAAAAGAGAGTTGTGACAGGTTTCCACTGATGCAGCCTGTAGCCACTTTTGGGGTAAGATTCAACCTCATGACATTTTCAAGTCTCCAAGTGCAAAATCTGGGAAACTTAGGAACCCCACAGCACACGCACTGCTTCTGTCACTTCACCTACACAAAAACAGTCAACACAGGGCTTGCCTCATGGATTGCACCTCTGTATTAAATCATTAGCCACAGATTTCCCTTTTCAAATTTATATAGACAACGTGGCAACTCTTTACCCATGTCTTTTAGCTGCTAGATAGTAAGAGTCAAACACTCCATGCTTGGGCCAAGAGCCTTGCGGACTCCAGGACATCTTATAAGTAACCAATGTCAACCAGGCACATAACATTAATAGTTCCTGAGGGAAATAGAGTCTTCCAGCGTGATATAAGGAAAGCTGTAAAGTGGAAAATATAAGTATATTCAGGAGAATCTAAACATACAACTCATATTTCCATAGGCTATAAGCCTTACAGGTCCTGAACACCAAGTAGGAGCACTTCTCAATTCCTGTTGATTTTAAAGATGGACATGTCAGAAGTGTCAGTCAAATGACACCTTTCTCAGAAGAAATAATACCTTTGGATGGACCCTGGCAGTTTTTGTGCAGCAGTACTTTCAATGGGAATTGAAAAGTTAACACAAACAGCACTTACTGAAACCCTATCACCTTCCTGAGAAGCTGCAAAGTATTAGCTTCTTTAACAAAGAAGAAAACTAAGGCTCATAAGGTAAAATGACTGGCTACAGGTTGCACAGAAGTAGGGTAGAACTAAGCAGAATACTTAGCTGCCTCATCACTTTCTGGGTAGAAACATACCACTGCACTTTTCCAGTGATGAAGTATACTCTCCGAGAAGAAAAGGGCTAAACATAATCGCCATGAAAGATGACACTGAAAACAAATTTTCATTGTACTAGACCATTAGCATCAATTGTACTAGATTGGAAGAAAAAGCAAAACATATACAAACACATAGGAGTTTCTTTTTTTTCCCTTAAAAAAAGATTTTCTTTTCACATGCAAGAATGCTGAGCAGCAATTCTTTTGAGTTGTCCTCCAACGAAATTCTGCAAATCTTCGAAATTTTCTTCTCTTTAAGTTCATATAGGCAAAGAAGTTTTTCACCATCCTGCTGGTTTTTTTTTTTTTTTTTTTTTTTTGTATTTGCAGAGCTATTACGGTAGCTAAAGTTGACATAAATCATCTAGTCTGTAGGCCAGCCTGGATAGCACGGAATCTGTTGCTAGGCTAGCTAAACACTCAGTGGTGCATTACACTGCTACAGTGTAGCTAAGCAAAGCATATATATTCCCAAGAGTAGATACGTAACACTAAAGTTTTTTGTTTGTTTGTTTGTTTGCAGCTAAGCGAAGCATATATATTGCCAAGAGTAGATACGTAACACTAAACTTTTTTGTTTGTTTGTTGTTTTTTGTTTGTTAATAAAGAGGAGGAGGTTTCCAGGCCTCTTTGGTTCCTTTGAGATGGAGACTATTTTTAAGAGACATGGTCTTCTTTTAATTCATCATTCTTTGCTTGATCCTGCAGGATTCGGAATTTTGAAAGTGGACACAAGCTTTCCCAGAGCATGCACCCTTCCTCATATCAAGTACCCTAGATACCAGAAGTGGTATCATTTAATATTTCCTATTTTCATAATGGTTCTGTCCCTTTGATTCAAAATCTCTTAATTATATTTCTGGATTCACATGAATTGACAAGTTGCATCAGTGTTAGTGAAAAGAAAGCTTCACTTCCTGTATTTGAATTCTATTTTAAAAAGGCTATTAGGATTTCACTACAATGCTTAGAGACTGTCAAATAAAAGGGAAAAAATAGATACGAGCTCATCAAACATGCACATATTGAAAATTGTTTTCACTACTGTTATTTTTATGCTCCTTTCTAAGTTTCCTTCTGGTCAATTGTAACTCTAAGGAGACAGAACACAACCTTTTGGAATGTGGTGATGTGCTGTTATTATTGATGCCTCTGTTTTATTAAAAACACAATTAAAAAAAACCAAACAAGCAAAAAATTAGAATATTTCACTAAATATAGCAAGCCCTAAAGGCTGAAATATATAGTAAAGTTACTAGTGTATTTTAGAACAAGTTATATCAAACTGTCAAATTCTTTAGCCCTTCCTCTTGCTGACGCATCCATTTGGCTTCCCTCCCACACTTGACCTTGACTGTTTTGAGTGATGTTGACGAGGCCAGATGAATGAGAAATGTAACTGATCAAAAGATGGACCAGGCAGCATGTTTCACACAGAGCTCACCAGTCCCAGACGAAGAAAGGAAACTTAAAAAAATAAAGACTTAAAACCCAACACTGTCCATAATGAAGAATTAACAGCAAATCTCCATGCAGCAATGCAGGAGAGAATTTCTCTCTGCAAGAGTATTATTATGAATCTTATATTAGCAGCTATTTTAGAAATCAATTTGATCCAACCAAACCAACAGAAATTAAACAAAAATAAAAAACACTAAATCACAAGCCCAAACTAAGAGTGAAGGGGCAGCGGGAGATTTTTATACGATACCTAAATTGACCATAAGTTTCACGCGGCCGCCGTCCAGCTCCAGGCGCAGAGTGTCAGCAGAATCCCTTGAGGTGGTGGCCATCAGCAGCCCGTAGGCGCGCTGGGACATGAAACGGAAGGACACATCTTCGGCCTCTGTATGCATGACCATGGGCATGATGATCTTCATGTACATGCTGCCATCGTAACTCAGGATGGAGGCCTCTGCAACAAATCAGTAAACAATTTTTCAAAAATGAAAAAAAAACACTCCTCTGTGTGATCTTCAGTCTCAAAGAGCTTTGCTGGAATGAAAGGGATGCTGTAAAAGACAAGTATGTAGAAGGAGGTTTACTAACAGTTTTTTTTGCTCTTGGATTTATCTTGATTTTGTGATTTGTTTCCTCCCTCCTTACTAGTACCTAATGTTTCCGGAGCTTTGCTGACGCAACTGATGGCATTGCAAGGCAAATAAAGAAACAACCCAAAATCCAGGTCAAGTTTAAGTGTCATTCAAATCACAGGAAATGGCAGGAGATGAAGGCACAAAGAAAGCCAAGAGGATGGAAAAGAACAACAACAGCAAGGAAAGAAATTACATTTTTATGCCTTCTCTTAGGATATCAAATTGAGAGTTCAATTGAGGAAAGGCACTATAAAATAAAGTACTTAACATTCTCTATTTGTTAGAGCTTTTGCCTGCAGAAACTGATACTCTAAGGGGGTATATTTGAAGTCTTGCAATGGAATTGCAGCGAACAGTACAGCATGGCAATCATTGTTTCAGCCCATTAATATGCTCTGAAGCATTTTTATCAGCACAATTTACAAATCTGCATAGATGTTATAATGTATGAGTCAGAGCGTTCCCTTTCCCTGAAGCCCAGCCCCTTGGAAGGCAGATGTAAAGACTGCTCCATGTAAGACTTATACCACAGACTGAAGCAGGGGAACTGATACAGAGAGAGTGCACGTGTGTTTTTGGTCACATTTGATTCATTTTACCTGGATCCCTGTACACGTGCTGGCTCAGCGAGCCACCACATTACTAGCTGGCAAGAAGCACTGCTCTGGTCATGGGACATAGAAACCTGTTGCAAATAAAAGTTCCTTCTCGGAGCACCATTAAAATAACACAGCTATGAGTAGCATCGATATTCACCAGTTTCTTTAGCTGCACTCCCTACACACTGGCATGATCTGCAGACCAGAGCTCCCTACACACAGCATCCCTCCAGCCAGACATGCACCTTGTGGGTGCCAACTCTCAGTGCTGCCCTGGGGACTCACGTTTTCTCTCAGCCAAGAAAAATGAAAAGGAAAGAAAACTCCTGTCTCAAGTCGGGGAATGGTTTATTCTTTTCAAATCCCAATTCTCTTTCCTCCCACACCTGCACCCCTTGCCTGCAAGCCGGGCCCCAGCGCGCTGCCTAGCACACGCGCCCTCCCCGGCAGCGGGCACGCGCAGCGGCCGCCGCGCGCTCCCTCCGCTCCGCTCCCGCCACGGACTGCATCAGGAAGCGCAGCCAAGCATGACATGGCTCCTTGGACGCCTGCAGCTGGGATGTGCCCTGCATGAAACCGCTGCGCGCCCGAGCAGCGACGGGGCGGCAGGGTAGCAGGACTGCGAGGGGAAGCATCTGACAAGCACCCTAGCACTCCTGCTTCCTTCTCTCTCATGCATTAGGTAGTTTGGAAGCCAGAGCTTTTCCTGCAGACACTGGAAGACAAGAAACTGAAAAATAGGTAGTAATGAGTTCCTTCCCTTCTAAAAGAACACATTTTGTCCATTGCCAGAGAATACCTGTCCCTAGACAAGAAATCTTCAGCATCATTATGAAATTTGCATCAAAGGGATCTGAAGAACAACCAGAATTTCTGAAGATGAAACAAAATACTGGGAACTATCTATCTATATATATACATATATATTTGAATAGGGTTTCCAAATCAACATCTGAATCCAAAAAGCCAGGAAAAAATGGAAATTCAATCCTAGACTCCACTACTATAGATGTGGCTCATCTCTGAAAAGAGTTACACGGTGAGTTGGAGTGGAAGAAGCTCCAAGGTGCAAAGGCAATATCAATGGCTAAACTATACCAAGTTCCCCATTTCATAACTCCAAAACCCCTCATTTCTTCTTCTAGGTAATGACTGAAACAAATCAGTGATGAGACAATTGTGCTGGCAACTTTCTCCTGAATACAACCACACATTGGACTTTCCTTTACCCATCATACCAATAGGACTGTGATATTTTTGATCAGTACCATAAATAAAAGTAGAAAAACAAGTTATCCGAGTTAAAAACACACATTCCCTTGAGTATTAGGGTAGCCTTGTGGCTATTTGAATGTACCAAACAAACATGCATCAGAGCAATGGATAGTGTATGAGGCTTCACACATGTTTCAGACAGCCACAAAGATTCATCCAGATATGACTCTGTATGAAAAAAAGATCCAGAGCTGCATTAACTGGAGACTGCAAAGCCAGAACCTTTGTTGCCAGTAGCCTGACGACAGGAGGATGAAGAAATCAGGTGCTGATTCAAAACTGCCCTTCCATAATGCCAGAGATCTGTGAAAATCAATGTATTATTAGGAGCAATTAGCTTCCCAGACTTGTGCTCTGAAACTCTGCCAGCTTCAATTTTACACTTAGCATCCAAAGGAGTCATTTTCTACTCCTTCCCAACAAGGTTCTGCATAAACCTCCCAGGGAGATGGCAATGGGCATATTCTTAGATTACAGATACTGAAAAATAGTCATGGCCTCTTTATGCTTGTTCTCCTGCTTTCTAACCTTTTTGCTTGTATTCATCTCTTATTTTCCTTATTCTCCTCTTCTCCATTTCCATAACCAAAGTTTGTGTCACATGGGTTTTAAGAGGCCTTTGGTTGGGATTGTGGAATCAGGACAGCTAGGAAAGACTGGCTGTATCAGTGTGCTTAAGCTGCCTTCAAGACTGGGCTATTTGCTATTTGTTCTTGCTTGTAAATGTAGTGTAGTTTAGCTGGATCCTCTCTGCTCTACCTGTAGAGCTGGGGAGCCTGAGCAGGCCACGCTGCCCTGCACAGAGGCAGCAGGTCCCATCTAATCCGCAGGTGAGAAGTGAAGACTTCCGGAGGTGTCCCCACATGTCCATGAGGAACACAGTGAGATACAGAGGCCCCTCTGGGGACCTGACCTGACCCAAACATCATGTAAAAGAGGACAACGCAACGGAAAAGCCCATTGCAAAGATTCACACACACAGATTCCTGTGGGGTGCCTAAACTTTCAGCTAAAAGAACAGGACCAAATTTGATTTGTTTTAATATTGCTAAAAGCTTTTGAAGTAGCATTTGACAAGCATTTAACATATTATGGGAGAACAACTTCCTATTCAGCTAAAAATATAAATTGCCATTACACAAAACAACCACCACAAGCACAAAAAGCCTGACTTGATCCCATAGCTGTGACGTTCACTTCCTCAACAACTGAATACAGGAACTTACAAAACGTGCATGCCTTTGGTACATAATATTTTATAAAAGAAAATTAAGAAGTTTGTCTGTAAATAATGGAAATATGTGAGCCAGAATGTAATTATTCAGACTGAAATCTGACTACACTCAGGAGCTAATGCTCCTATTTTTGTGCAAAATGCAATGGCAACTTGAAATGTTGACAAGTGTTTAAGATTTTGTGAAATCTGTGGTACCATGCTCTGGCACTGTTCCTCTCCAGGTCAGAAGAAAAGGCAGTATTTACTCAATGCACTGAAAGGCATTTTCAGTAAATTGGATTTTCCTTGGATGTCTCTCATTCAAGTGCCATTGGACCTGACCCTACTTAGCCTGCCAAACAGGAAAGATTAACTAGGAGGGAAGCATAAGTCATCAGCACTTAAAAGGACAATAATAGAGAAAACAGCATAATACTTAAATATCTACCCAAAGTGGGTCCATCATATTATAAATAAGGTTGAGTTTTAGTAGTCAAGCAAAAAGCATTGCACATAGTATCACTTATTGGCAACTGTTAGGATTACTGTACTGGTAGAAACAAAGTGATTTTGCTTTAAATGCCAGGATGCCCATTCCATCACCATTTTTGTTAAGGACCGAAATCAACTCATGAAGATAAAACAGTTGCCAAAATCTTAGATGCATTTGATCACAGAAATGTAAGGAACCTCAACTAATAATCTGCCCTCCACGCATTAAGGTAAGATCAAACATATCACAACAGCAGCTCCCAAACCGCGGGATCATTAGCTGTCAGTGAGACTTTGAAAAATAGCTCCAGGGACTCACTGGAGCCATACGACTACTACTTTAGTTCTCTATCTAAAAACGAATGAGGGGGCTGAATGTCCACAAGACATTCTGACAGAGTAGCCCATTGGTTCAAAAGCTTTGAAACCACAACACCTGACCGTTTCTGGTCGTCTATAAACAATTTGCTCTTAAAGCAATCTGGAGAGGAAACACTCAAACTTTCTATATAGCTTTTTCTAGCACTTCACTACCTCACAGTTCAAAGCATTTTCCTAAAGTCATCCCTAATTTTTCAATGCTTCAAATTAAGCTGAAGGCTTTCTTCCCTCCTGCCAATGGGTATACATATCTTCTTCATAAAAAACCTTTATATATGGATGCACTGCATACAATTATCCTAGCTCCCTTACTCTGTTCTGGAATAGGTAAGCCCCATTTTTTCAACTTCTACCTTTTATTTTCTAAAACTTTTGGCTCTTCTGTTGTCCTCCTTTGGCTTCTCTTTGACTTGTATGTTACTTTCTTAAATTCAGCTCCCAAAATTTGAAGAGTGTATGCCAGTTAAGAGCAAACGAGCACTAAAAGTAGAGTAATTACATGAGACACCCTTATCAGTACAATATGCACAAAATATTTCCAAATGAGCAGCAAATGAGAGTGATAATGAAACTAGCTCCAAGGCATTCATCACATTTTCAGGGATGCAAGAATACTGGTGGGGCAGTAGTAATAACTGTCATTTATAAGGCCAGCGCTATAGACAAAAATTGCTAGCAAACGTTTACATAGACCATCTGGACAAATATTTTTCAAATACATCTTCTCAAAATGTTGCAGACTTCATTGCATCACATTATTTAAAACATTTCAACACTTAACATACATATATGCTTGATAATAGCCTGAAAATGCCGGTTGGATCATATAAAAACATCTTGAAGAATGGGTGAAGTG